TTTCAGGCCTATGTAAGGGAATATACCCCCAAAATATGGCTTTATATGGTACAGTACCTCCATTTTAGGATCCTGGAATTCCCATTGACAACTGGTATAGTAATGGATCCAACTGGTTTTCAAGTTTCATTGGAAGTTGAGTCTGCATCATGGATTGATGAACCAAAAACTTCAATAACTTCATAAGGGTCGTGAATGAAGTGGTTCAAATAGCACTAGGAACCAATGGATCTTCACTCTTCACTGACATCCGTTTTGACCAATGGACGTTGTCCAGCCACTATCATGGATTGATAGTAAATTTGTCAGTGGTATTGTGAGGTCCTCATATATGGTTCCAAGAACTCTTAATCTGCTTTGGCCGCGGATATTTCTGGTATGACACTGTTCAGCCGGACAAGTCCCACATGCTGACAGGTATCAACCGCAGCAAGCTCTTGAATCGGACACAACTGGTCTCTCAAGTAAAAAAAAGTCTATAGCATCCTTGATATGACTGGTCGTACAATCCTGAAATTGTGTGGGCCCTAGGTGGTCATACGAGTAGAATCCCAAAGTTACTTTCAAACATTGTAGATATTTTACGATAGTTATATAGATGTTCTATATATACAGTATCAGTATATATATATATATGGCTTCCCGACTTTTTTCAAAAAAGTACCTGATTCTAAATCCCCGAAATTGTTGCTCATAAGAATCTCTCTGCAGGTAACAAACTGAAAAAAAAAAACTGAAATTCTAAAAATGTCTACAATCAAAGAATAATAACGGAAAGCCTAATGATAATAATAGTAACCTAGGTATAATATACATATATATATAATATAATATAATATATTGCAAGAAATGGTCATTTTAATCCCCATCAAAGTCCCCAGTATCTGGGTCGCCCCAACCGCAGAACAGAGTTGCATCAAATGGGCCGGCAGCGGCCGTTCACTGCTGGGTGGCCTGGCCAGAACAGCCATGAAGAGCCCCATGTTTCAAGTTTTCCTAACCTTGGTGATTTAAAAAATATGGGGTTTAGTTTTAGTTATCATCTGGTTATGACTAACATAGCCATGGAAAATCCCAACCATAAATGGAGGTTTCTAGCTGGGAAAATCATCTACAAATGGGCCATGGCTTCCATGGCTATGTTAAATAACCAGAGCATAAGTTTAGTTGATAACACTTGAAAACCCACATTTTTCTAGTTGTAACAATCTGTAGTGGGCTTGACCCTCGGATATAGGCGGACAATTTTTTGTGGTTTCTTTGTCATCTCGGGATGGGTCAAAAGCTGTCAAAAAGGCCAAAATGAATTGGGTGCTCATTCACATTTCTGACATTTCTATGTCATTCTATGTCTATAACATTCGCTAAGTATCCAGAACTACCAGCGCGCATCTTCTCACCAGTTCCATCTGCCTTTTGGTCACCAGCTCCACGGCTTTACCGGCCACCTGGAAGTTTGCAAACTAGATGCATGTACAGTAGATCTGCCGAGCAGAAACGCTGCTACATGTCCATTGAAGATGGAACATGTGGAACCATCGCTTCGAAGTTCGAAGCCCAACCACATCTCCAGACAATAATCATCCATACTACCATCCCGGACCATCAAACACCCTCTACTTATGTCTCAACCTAGACCCTCCAAAGACCCCAAACAAATGGTAAAAGTACTAAAATTACATGGTAAAGCACAATTTTTAAGAATACTTGGAGGGTCTAGGAATTAGGGTCTAGGAATAAGTGCAAATCACCTAGTAAACTTAGTAAACTTTGGTTGTTGCGGGGTGCTTAATAATGTTTAATAATGTTTACTATTAGAGGGAGGGGATGAATCATATTAATCGAGAAGACTCTGTCGGCACCCGACCTGTTCCAATAAAGGCGGTCGACGCCAGTCTCCATCGAAGGAAAACCAAACAGCTTGAACCTGAGCTGCACAGATGCAGGGAAGCGAACCCGTTTTTCTAGGATCCTCAAACCCATTGAGTGCTGAGGACTTGGTTTTGAACATTGATGGGTACTCCATATTTCTGTGAAGTCATGATTTCTTTCCAGGTTTAATTGAAATTGATTGGTAGGTAAAATACGGTAAAATGATAATCCCAATGTTCTTATGATAATCCCAATTAAACCAGATGGTATCTTTAGTGGCTCACACTGCCAGGTTGGATTGCGAAGAAACGGACAATGGATGACAATGGTGATCTGTCACCATGAAAACTTAGTACTTGTACTGTATAAGCCACAAACATGAGACCTTTTGTTAAGCATGTATTGCATGATGTGAAAACATGCGAAATCGACCGCAATGTTGTTAATTTTGATTGGGAATGATATAAAAATGATAGGCATGTTCAAGAAAAATATCGTCTGCAAGCGTTGAAAAATGATAAGTGGGGTATTAAGTTTCACCGGACCCGCAGGGCAGGCGGGCCCACGAAAAAAAAGTGGGGTTCTTGGGTACCCTCCATGAGAAGTACCACAGACAGAACCAACGAAACAGAAAGTAAACCAGAACCCTTGTTCAATATCTTTCAATTACTGTATATAGATTCAGAAACATAACGCATGACTATATCTATCAATTTCAAACAGACATGAGGTTGCCATACCTATCAAATCATACAGCTACTGGAATGTCAACATACAGTAGATACGCAATGATACGCGTTTTGCACATCATGCCATGTCAAGCGTCAGATACCGTCAGTCCTGAGGCTGACACCAAAGATGGTTGGAACAAGTCGTAGAGGGATTCTAACAGCAACCTCAACCCCAGCAACAGAACGAGTTCAGCATGTCTCAGCGAAAATCTAAAAAACAAATGTCGAAATCTGAAAATATGTTGACATATGTTGACCTAGACCCTCAAAGACCCCCTAAAAATGATAAAAGTATACTTATATAAACTATCATAAACTAATATGGTGGTTTTTTACACCATTCTTTTAGGTACAAACGGATGGTCTATAGGGAGATTGAATGGTCTGAAATGGCAATGAATTTTGGGCACCACGGAGCACTGAGTTCAAGGCTCCACCAAATGAACCGCCTGTCCAAGGAACTTGGGATGGCGGGCCATAGGCCCCCGAAGAAGGCCCAAAAATGGGGGTGAAAGGATCCAAAGATTTGGAAAAGGAATCAACATGCCAGTATAAAATATACATTAAAATATCTATCACTTTAATTTATACTTTTTCAACTAAGATGTCCATAGATTTCCAATATGTAGCCGAGTTGAACTCCAGCAGTTTTTTCTCGCAGTTTCGTAGCTCCTGCCTCCTCAGGCGTAACTGGAGCAGCCTCCGACGTGATCAAGGGAGCCACCTCGAATAGCGAAGTGATGCCAGCGGGTATGGCTGGAGGACGTCAACAAGCGCAGAACAGGAAAGTTGATATTACACCCTCCATTTTGTTAATACTAAACCATCCAGTTTTAGTATTAAGCCATGCATTTTCACTACAAAGCCCCATCTCTTTTTTTAATCTGTGAAAATTGTGAGCCATATCCAAAATGATTTCCCACTGGCTGAACATACACTAAACCCCCAAGTTATATAAGTTATTAAGGAAGAGTTTGTAGGATTTCCCCGCCATCTGAGATAAAGCCCTCATTAGAAAATAGGATGTGGATGGATGTGGGCATACTCAGGCATACTGTTGCTGTGGTTCCCCAAGGTCCAATGTCCAAATATGTCCAACACCTCCCCCAACCGCTGAGTGGATAGGGCTGCATAGTCCAGGCTCCGAATGTAAACCCCTCGGCGGATCCAAGATGTTCCAGGCGTTTAAGACCTTCCTCCACATAGAACACCCTAGTACCCTCTGGTAAACTAACATAGCTATTGAAAATGGCCATAGAAATAGTGGATTTTCCCATAAAAAATAGTGATTTTCCATAGCTATGTTAAATTACCAGAGGGTATACCGTAGGAGTGTTGACTCCATCTCTACTCTTTGGCATACTGCCCAAGTGTCACTATGTCACGATGTTCTATCCGATCCGATAGTGACAGGACAATCATAGCACCTACCAATCTACCATACCTTTGACAGACTGTCCCACTTCAAATGGCTCGTTCAGTTGAATAGTCCAACTATAATAAATAAAAGATCATTGAGCAGTGTTCAAAACCCTGTGTCGTCCCTTTTGATTCAATGGATGATTGCAGCCACTGCAGCTTCGATGCACTGGGATGCACCAGGGATGCTGGGTGCGCCAGACCGGAAAGTAGCGCATCGACCTGGGATTCTATGCTTGGATCATCCCATGGATTCGTCCCCCCATTCGGTGGGTTATCCCATTTGCAAATGGGTGAGTTCACACGCTAGTTACTAGTTACACTCACCAGTCTCCGTGGGGTGAAGCTCCAAGTGGTGGAAAGTGAGGGTTTTCCAAATGCTTCCGACCTACCAGTTGTACAGTTCCTGTCAAAAATCCAGCCGGTTCTTGACAAATACCCAAAGTAAATCAAAGAAAAACCTGTCCGGAACGCATTGGAATGCAGTCGAGACAGAACAAACAGAGAGAATCTACAACCGACATCAACCAACAATGCCCTCCAATACCGTAGGAAAATTCATTGCAACAGTATGGCAAATGGTGGCATTCACCATTGCGTCTCCACATCGGAAATCCGCCACCTAAACTTCTGTTGTGTAAAAACGATCCAAAAGCTGACTGGGTTCAGGGCAACTTGCAAGAATTGCCAGCTTAGAATGATGATTAAACGATTAAACCCCAGAACATGATGAAAACTGACCATACTAGGTCCGAAACCCATCCATTTTGGAAGGTTTTCAACTCTTGCCCTGACGCATCCCAACCATTCCCAACCTGCAAAGCTCCCAAAGCAGCGCTGCTGGAACCTGCTGCCTGGGCCGTTGCTGCGGTGAGGTTGGCGCCAAAACAACTCACAAAGTGACCAGAACTCAAAAGGTCTAAACACTTTGACAAGTATACCGCTCTCGATGGTGATGATTCTACCAACAATCCTAGCTGATTTAGATTACAATTGAATACACTTGATCTAAACGTTGCTCGGCTTCTGAGCGCAGCAGTTTTCTTCTACACCTGGAAACTGTACACATGTCCAGATGCCACTGTCCTACATTCGGTACATTGCCTCAGTTCGCAGGGTGTACTTCAAGCCGCTCTTCAGCAGCGAACCTTCATGAAGCAAGTTCTGTGAAAAGATTAACACACTTCCCGCCCGGGGCTGACAACAGCAAACCACCTCCTCTGAGTCTTTCATGAAGGTGGTACCACCGCCACTTCCTTCCGGCACGTCGTGAAGATAGACCTGCACCGTGATCATGGAGCGATCCCCGGCGCGGGGGTCCGGCCGGGGCCGCCGGAAGGTGCCATCGTAGTGGGCCGGGAACTCCTGGCCGGGCGTGTAGCACAGTACCCGACAGCGCTCGTTGAGGTCGATCAATGTGCCACGTTGAAAGGTCTCGGGCAGGTAAGGACGCAAGACCTCCAGAAGATATCCACTGAGCTCAGGGCTATCCACAATGGCCCGGTGCCCATCACGGGCCTTTAGATCGAGCATCTGGCGGCCATGACCAATGTTCAACAAAGCAGGGGTGAAGCCTTTCTGGTTGATGCACTCGATGAGTTCTGCACAATCATCCTCATCAAAGACCCCAGTCACCACACCTGCAAATCTACCAGGCCCACCGGGGACCACCAGCTCTTCCCATTGCGTCTTGCCACGCTGCAGCTTGGGATCCTTCCGTTCCAGAAAGCTGGGACCTTGCCACGGCAGTTCCGTACGATCTGGGTCATCTAAGGCGGTAAAGACCTGCCCCTCTTTCCAACCCATCTGGAGCAACTTGGGCGGTTGCAATGGAGCACCTGCCAGCGACATTCCATCGGCCAAACCAGCAACTTCTGCATCTGACAGTGGCGCTCTCCACTTCGAACTGGATTTTCCCATGGCTGCAGTGGCAGCGCTGAGACCCATGACACCTGGATACTCTTTTTGGTCCAAAACACACCGCCCCATGTGTGGTCCCCTCTCGCCGGCGAAGTCTTCGGAAAATTGCCATGTCTGAGGATGAACCCTCTTGATCCCCTGGATGGTCATGGACCCCTGGATGGTCATGGCCACAGTCCTGCCTTGTCGGCCCAAAAATCCACGCAGAGCCAACAAATGCGATTCACAACCTCAGCTCCCGAGATGGAGACTGGTAGAAACCACTTGGCTGCCGTTCTGTCCAGTAAATTCCAAATTGGAACCAATTTCAGGGATCCAAAGGTCGGAAAACATAGTTCAAAAATCGCAATAGGATTATCATATATCATCATGATCATAAACTTGATTCATCAACCTTATGTTTGAAATCATCCAACTTCAGTTTGAAGTTTATGAATGTATGAACATGACTTCCCCTCAGCGGCGCACCGGGAGTAGCAAGGTCAAGAGCGGCAAGCTCCCAGGGAAGACTTTGCAAAAGCCTCATGACCGGCGTCGCCATGGGATGTGGCGTTCATGGCTACACAGGTCCGACGGGTCCCTGCTGCATGACCATCCCCGTTTAAAAAAAAAAACACAAACCAGGTGTTGACCCTGGGACTAGCGATTTTTTTCACGAATATACACCATGATACGACATGATCAATGCTCCGTCCATGGATGGTTCATATTCACCCATCGATGAGAGAATTCGACTATCTACAAAGAATCAGAAAAGAAGAACTACGTCGAGGAGTCATCAAAATTATCAACCGTCATTTACCGTCATTATAACCATCATCTACCTACCTTAATGGTTTCCTCTTGTGGAATTCACCTTGCAATGTTCAACAAGTCCGCCTGGATTTTTTCGGACCCACTGGCACTGAGCTCCACTGCTAAGCAAAAGCAAGGGGATGTCATTCTGGAAAAATCGCCCCTGGCGTCACAAAATTCGTGATTTCAACATGTTGAACAAACCCATCTAAACAAAAAAATTGGACCATTGCTATCTGCTAGTTGAATCGGATGTTTATATCTATATTTACTGTTACGATGAATATATACATTCATATAATTATAATATATATATATATATATTCTATCCCATTTTGTTGGACATATAAAAAAAAAAAAAACATATATATATATAATTATATATATGTATGTATGTATGTATGTATGTATGTATGTATGTATGTATGTATGTATGTATGTATGTATGTATGTATGTATGTATGTATGTATGTATGTATGTATGTATGTATGATGTATGTATGGATGTATGGATGCATGGATGTATGTATGAGTATGTATGTATGTATGTATGTATGTATGTATGCATGGATGTATGTATGTATGTATGTGTATGTATGTATGGATGTATGGATGTATGTGTATGTATGTATGTATGGATGTATGTATGTATGTATGTGTGTATGTATGTATGTATGTATGTATGTATGTATGTATGTGTGTATGTATGGATGCATGGATGTATGTATGAGTATGTATGTATGTATGTATGTACGTACGTATG